TGCATCCACTTTCCGTCGCGAGTGCCCGACTTGGGCACCGAAAAGAACCGATCGGCTGAGGGTACCATCCTCCGTGGGGCTGATTTGTCCACGTCTCGCAGTTTGCCCCCCCTCCCCACACCGTGGTGGATTAGATTAATCCTGTCTCCACTCCGACGGCGCCACTAGAATAAAAGTGCATTCATCGTGCCGTCCGTGTTCATGGCATGATGTAAGGGGCACCAGTTGTCACCGTGGACCCAGAACATTACATGACCACTTTTCGTCACTTAGCTGATGTTCGTACCAGGCTGAAATTTACATGTCTGCAGTGGCAAAGGTATGACGCATTCAGTACAATAATGGTGCGTGTTAGCAAAGTAACACACACAGAGTTCATGTTAATACCACAGCTCATTAGTAATTTGTATAGTATGTGTAAAAGAAGAGTATATTTTAAAATATCCATAATGCCCATATAATGAGCACTACTGGGCAATTATTATGAGAAGTAAAGAGTTACAGTGGACATGGTGGCAATCACTGTAATTGTGATGAAGGCTATAGCTGTACATACAGATATGGTTTAGGTCGAGGCTACAGCAGCAGTAACAGCCACACAGAGTCCTCAGCAGGATTGTTTTGTTAAGGGAGGGGTGTCAGAAGTGCCTGGTAGAGGGCAGGGTCCTGTTTGGGTGGTAGGGAAACACTGGGCTCTAGAACGGATGGGGGGCAGCACAGCATGAGGGAACAGAATTGGAGGGGAGGGGAGGGGGGGTCACAACGGAAGGGAACCTGGTTTTGAGTGTAAAAAGAAGAGCGGTGTACATCCCTGTCAGGCAGAAGGGCTTTGACAGAGGCTACCACCACCTCCCACTGCTCATCTCGTATACTGCCGACCTCAGAGGCTGGGGAGGGACAGGGAGGAAGGAGAGGCGCAAGCCCATCGCCGTCAGCTACCACAAAGGAAGGGAGAGGGAGGGCTCTGGAATATCCTGCCGTCTTTCGTTCTGAATGCTGTGTATTTTGTATCAATACCACAGAAGCCCACCAGCGATAACTAACTGCCTTTACTGACATCTTAAAGCCCAATGATAAAACTCTCATCCCAAAAATAAGGAATTGTATGACGTTGCTAAAGTTGCTTTATCTGTCACTGTCAGTTTCCATCTATGGGGGGGGGGGAAATAAAAGCACTGATAGTCTTATTTCTAGCTTAGTAATGTAGAATGTACTGTAGACATGCTTGTTTTACTGTGCACACGTGTGTTTTGTCTTTGGGCGTGACTTTGTCCTGCCCACTATATCCCAGATCTCCACTCTCTGCTCGCCATTAGCCCCAACATTCACTTGCGTTCAGAGTGGACAACAACTTTATTTTTGAACTTAACCAACTTAAATCAGTTTTATGATTGATGCAATATACATGTGATGCATTTTAACTGTCAGAAAGTAACCCAGTGTAAACAAAACAAGTACAATCAGACACTAGCAGCTTGTAGGGGAAAAGAATATACAGTCAGATCAAAACTAAAACTAGTTTTAGGTATCAGAAATAAAGCAAGCGTACATACAAACAGGCATGTAACAAACTGAAAATGTAAGAATGTAAAACCAATCCTTCCACTGCTGATAGATATTAAGAAAAAGCACAAAAATCCCAAATATCTTTTTCAATAATGAAATTTTACAATTTAATCAGATGTTCATAAAGTGACTGTACCTCCAGTTTGTATCCTCCACTTTGAAATTCCTTCACACGCATATTTCACACGAAATATAAGCATCTCATTTTGCATATTGTGAAAACATTAAGCATTTTTGTAATGTCACCCATATGTCGCCAGTGTGGCAATCGTATTCGTCAAAAAAATACAAATCTGGGTTTCCTTGTTGTCTGATGTTTATTCATCATGTGAATTACGCCGAAACAGTGAAAGCCGATTGAACCCGAGTGTGAATTAATAATGCAGGAGAGAATGAAATGACGACGCCAGCAAAGAAATGAAAACAATTGAAGCACAACATATTATAAAGCTCCTGAAATGACAATAAGACTGGGCAAGCTTTCTGAAATGATTCATTCGAAAGGCTGCCGTTTTAGCCCTGAGCTCCCGTGACCCCGTCTCCAGTGGACTGCTGATGAAGCTGGCCTCGTTAGTGCTGTGGTACGCTGAGATAGAGGGAGCGATACGGGCCAGGAGGACCACAAACACCACATGCCCAGATGCGGGACAGCATCTGAAGCTTTGACCCCGAAAAAGTTAAGACTTGCACCTTTCTTAAAGCTACATGAGCTACTTTGGATACAACTGCAGCAAGATGATGTTAGCTACTGCTAGGTTACAGCAAAGACAGACACGCTCCTCTAAAAGATATGGATGGTGTGGATGCTATGGTTACAATCTGTCGTGAAGACCACAAGGTCATGCACCTGGTTTGCAGAGACCAGGAACCATTCCTCCACAATTACTGCCCAGCTTGATGGGACATATGCCACCGTCACAGGCCTCTCTCCTGTCAGTCCCACCAACTCAGGTCTGTGACTGTGAAATTCAGATCTGGTGACTGAGAGTGTCACGAATTTCTAGTCATTTCGTCCTCAAGCACCTCATACCACCCACTGATAAGTTGCGCCTGTGCATTGGAGCACTGTCATTCTGGAAGACACTCGCCCAGCAGGAGACACACATTGCATCATGGGATGCAGGTGATCTTGCCTTTCGTTCTTCCACTCTCTCTTGCATTATTAATATACTCTTGGGTTGAATCTGCTCAGCATGGCAATAACCCATGTTCCATCATCCTTGCCATCAGGAGCAGACCTAGGCCATGGCCAGCAAATGCACCCTGAACTAGTAAATCTGCCACAGCCATTGACAGGGTAAACTGGGCTAATTCTTATACCGAGGCTACACATGTGCATGTCTATTTGTCAGGATCACAAAGGGAGCTGAGACACCAGCTATCCATTGCCATCTGCTGCTGGAGATTATGGTTATAGTTACATCTAAAATTTGTTAACTGTATAGGGTTGAAGTTGGGTCACGCCTTTAAGACCCACGAGTGTCTCCTTTGACTATTTCAAGTATTGCTGGACACTTGTGATCTTCTGTTGTACCATAAAGTCTAAATGATGCATTTGTAGTACTGATGTAGGTAGTTCCCACTGTTACTTCTCAGTGATAATGTAAGTTTATATTTCCCTAGGTTGACTTTGCTTGACATTAATTTTTGCTTGCTCCCTTTACATAATAGTATGCCACACAATGCATGTGTAAACACTCCAACATAAAATGCCATCACTCTGCTGGATTCATTTGATTGTGCTTTCCCAGGAGCACTGTCAAGTAAATGCGATGAAGTGCCACAACACAAATGTATCAATGCATATTCTAGATGGTTTTCATTGTTTTCCATCTCTGGGAAGACTTATGGGCTTTAGATGAACCATTTAATGCAGGTGCAGCATGTTGGTCAACGCTGGCCAGACATGAGCTTCGATATTGCAGGTGTGAGAGATTGAAGTTCCTGTCTACACACTAGAATGGTCCGAGTTCATGTCTAGGATCCAGTGCAGGTCTGTGGGTGAAATATATCTCACTCGTATATACACTAGCCTGGGCCATATTTTTAGGTTATTAACGAACACACAAATATTCACAGAATGGGCCCTCAAACATGTCCTTGACATAATTATTCATGCATGTAGACACACCTACATATTTAGACAAGTTATGCCTCAAACAAAAAAGAAAGCTATTTTCATTGTCCTCTGTCTTCCTAGAAGTTTAATT